GTGTACTCACCTCTACGTAGGACCAGATCGCTGACTGTAAGTCTCCTCTGTGTAGTGACACACTGGCCAGGTTTTTGTGTGGGATACCTGTCAGTGTACTCACCTCTACGGAGGACCAGATCACTGACTGTAAGTCTCCTCTGGGAAGTGTCACACTTGCCAGGTTTTTGTGTGGGATACCTGTCAGTGTACTCACTTCTACGTAGGACCAGATCGCGGACTGTAAGTCTCCTCTGCAGTGTACTCACCTCTACGTAAGACCAGATCGCTGACTGCAAGTCTCCTCTGTTTGGTGTCACACTGCCCAGGTTTTTGTGTGGGATACCTGTCAGTGTACTCACTTCTACGTAGGACCAGATCGCGGACTGTAAGTCTCCTCTGTGTAGTGTCACACTGGCCAGGTTTTAGTGTGGGATACCAGTGAACATATACTCACCTACACGTAGGACCAGATCGCTGACTCTAAGTCTCCTCTGTGTAGTGTCACACTGGCCAGGTTTTCGTGTGGGATACCTGTCAGTGTACTCACCTCTACGTAGGACCAGATCGCTGACTGTAAGTCTCCTCTGTGTAGTGACACACTGGCCAGGTTTTTGTGTGGGATACCTGTCGGTGTACTCACCTCTATGTAGGACCAGATCGCTGACTGTAAGTCTCCTCTGTGTAGTGTCACACTGGCCAGCTTTTCGTGTGGGATATCTGTCAGTGTAATCACCTCTACGTGGGACCAGATCGCTGACTGAAAGTCTCCTCTGTGTACTGACACACTGGCCAGGTTTATGTGTGGGATACCTGTCAGAGTACTCACCTCTACGTCGGACCAGATCGCTGACCGTAAGTCTCCTCTGTGGAGTGACACAATGGCCAGGTTTTTGTGTTGGATACCTGTCAGTGTACTAACCTCTACGTAGGACAAGATCGCTGACTGTAAGGCTCCTCTGTGTAGTGGCACACTGGCCAGGTTTATGTGTGGGATACCTGTGAGTGTACTCACCTCTACGGAAGACCAGATCGCTGACAGCAAGTCTCCTCTGTGTACTGACACACTGGCCAGTTTTTTGTGTGGGATACGTGTCAGTGTACTCACTGCTACGTAGGACCAGATCGCTGACTCTAAGTGTCCTCTGTGTAGTGACGCACTGGCCAGGTTTTAGTGTGGGATACCATTGAACATATACTCACCTCTACGTACGACCAGATCGCTGACAGCAAGTCTCCTCTGTGTAGTGCCACACTGGCCAGGTTTATGTGTGGGATACCTGTCGGCGTACTCACCTCTATGTAGGACCAGATCACTGACTGTAAGTCTCCTCGGTGTAGTGTCACACTTGCCAGGGTTTTGTGGGGGATACCCGGCCGGGGACTCACCTCTACGGAAGACCAGATCGCTGACTGTAAGGCTCCTCTGTGTAGTGACACACTGGCCAGGTTTATGTGTGGGATACCTGTCAGAGTACTCACCTCTACGGAGGACCAGATTGCTGACAGTAAGTCTCCTCTGTTTAGTGTCACACTGGCCAGGCTTTTGTGTATAGAGTACAGCAGTTTTTGTGTGGGATACCCGTCAGTGTACTCACCTCTACGTAGGACCAGATCGCTGACTCTAAGTCTCCTCTGTGTAGTGACACACTGGCCAGGTTTTTGTGTATAGAGTACAGCAGACGTAGCCCGTCCTGGTCTGCACCTTCTTCCTCGTCCTCCACCAACTGTGCTGTCTGTGATATATAGCAGCATTAGTATAGACAGTTTGTGATGGCATACACAATGTACTGCCCGACAGTCCAATATATAGTGTTCTTAGTATGTCTATAAAAACTAAGTTACAACTGACAGAGATATATGGTGTAAATAGCTTGTAATAAAAGCTTAAAAATATAGGCACAGGTATGCATACAAACATGACAAGGATTAGATATAATTTAATTTCCAGTACCAAACTGACAGATATATACCATGTCTATCTAGTTATATAGTATTAGCAGTAACAACTGACAGATATATACCATGTCTATCTAGTTATATAGTATTAGCAGTGACAAACTGACAGATATATATATACCATGTCTATCTAGTTATATAGTATTAGCAGTAACAACTGACAAGATATATATATACCATGTCTATCTAGTTATATATTATTAGCAGTAACAACTGACAAGATATATACCATGTCTATCTAGTTATATAGTATTAGCAGTAACAAACTGACAGATATATATATACCATGTCTATCTAGTTATATATTATTAGCAGTGACAAACTGACAGATATATATATATACCATGTCTATCTAGTTATATAGTATTAGCAGTAACAAACTGACAGATATATATGTACCATGTCTATCTAGTTATATATTATTAGCAGTAACAACTGACAAGATATATACCATGTCTATCTAGTTAAATATTATTAGCAGTAACAAACTGACAGATATATATATACCATGTCTATCTAGTTATATATTATTACATATATAAAATTGACAGATACACTGCATAAAGTTTATCATATTATATGTTATAGAATTATATAAAGATATTTAAAATGACAATGATATTCCAAGGACTGTGACTAACCTCTCTGAGGAACACATGATGGAGTAGATCCTTGAATGCAGCTTCTGCTAGACCTTCCTCGCCCTGTCTCTGGAGCCTCAGTGCTGCATCATACAAGGTGAAGGCTTCAGACTCCTATCACCAACCAAGAATAAAATTGTGTCAGACAACTTTCCATTATACAATTTGAAAAATGATCAAATGTCATGAAACTTAAACAATTAGTAGTGTAAAGATCAATGGTATATGCTTTATTTGGGTAACTATTATAGTTAGTATGCCACACTAATAATATATATTTGATAAACTTGAAAACATTTCTTCATACAATGTACTCAGACTTGTATACAATAATGATTTATGCTGGATAATGCAGCCCTTAATTATGCAAATTATTTTGAGAAAGGGCTGCATTGTTATATAAAAAATGTACTTCACTGTACTAAGTATAAGTCAAAAACTACACCAACAACTTGTCCTGGTATTATTTTTCTATGAGAAGTATACAGGTCGACACCTTAGTTGACTTTTATAAAAGGACATAGCTAGGACATAACAGTATATTTCTTAATCATTGTCATACATGAAACATCTTTATGTAAAATCTTTATGTAAGAAAACAATAAATATATGTTTTCCCAAATGGTCATATATTTTTAAAATGTTTCAAATTCTGATATTGGGATACACACAGTATTGTACCAATTTGAAAAGGGGGATGATCCTAATAAATTATCACAAAGTCCTTTGGTCATTTAATACAGAACATACATGTATATTTTTTTCTGGGAAAAATGAGAGAGTGATTCAGGTAACAGACCAACATTACTTTTATACCTTTGCCTCCTTAGTTGTTCTGGCTGCAGTCTTTGGAGCCCGACTATCCTCCTCACTGCTTGAATCATTGAGGGCTGCTATCCGAATCTAAAGCAGGGTAGAAAAAGAACAATACAATTCATCAATTCATACTGTAATGTCTTTCTAACGATTATGTAAACCAAGCTATTTAAATTCCACACAAATAATAGCAAAGCTCCAGTTTCTCACTAGCCCAGGGGTGTACTATTTTATATTTAGAACACATGTATTTGATCTCAGGCAGATTTAGGAAAAGTTCTACTAGCCCAACCTATAATTTCATTGGTAATTTAAGGACACAACATCTATTTAGACATCAGACATTCAGTAGGTGGGCACTTCAATTAATGTTTTCTTTCATAGCGTAATGTATGTATGTCCATGATACTTTCAACATATATGGATGGAAAGTTAATTTATTTCATTCTGCTACAGCGCCAATAAAAGTGTTGACAACTATCATTTCAAACCTTTACATGATCAACAGATTTCTGTAACAGGAGTTATTTGGTTAACATGTTTCTTTATTCGTATGTGGCAAATATCGTGAAACCAAAAAACATTGATATTTCACAACAATATTTTTTCTAGTCTTACTGATTCTGAAGGTATCAAATGGCTTTGAATATCAATAAATATTTATACATTATCAATATCTGGTATTGGTTTAATTTCAGTTCATTAATTATGTTACATGCAAAAGAAAGAAAAAAACAGGAATGTGTTTTTTTTATCTGACTAGTTACTTCATTCTTTATTGGCGACATCATGTTCAATCACATGCATGACAATCTGACCTAAGGACTTGTGAAAATGGTTGACAACATCTACCCTGTTGTAAGAAGCTTCCTAAATGGTATGACATCGTTGTTGTCGACATTTTTATCAGCGCATTGGCAGAGATAAATAAATATGTCGGGAATGTTTGTGGACACACAGTCCAGTGTAAAAGAAATGCACATCACACTCGGTGCACAGCTTTTTCAAAGAGACTCTATGGGGTCGTTCGAACTCTCTCTGCCAATCCCAACTTGGTCGGTTACAAATCCCCAAACAACCCAAAAGTTAAAACAAGTGTGTTCATTCGTGAATGTATAATCAGGATCAAATCAAGAACATAGATCTTTGTTTTGAGTAAGAGAAACGGCATCTTTTTGCTATTTGCAGTTGTACCTCTTTCAACGGCAATAAACAGATAAAAGGCCGTCTTACATTAGTTGCCTTCACTACTCAATACTGAAAAAGCTGTGTCGGCCCTAGTCCGCTAAAACTGACCATAATCGCAGGCTCAAAAATTCTGATCAGTCGCCTGTTTATGGACCATTTCTTTTATAAAGGGTCATACACTCCCTCTGCAGTCGCACAGATGATGCCATACATGGTTCATGAACACATGGGGTGTCAGCGGCTTTGTTTAGAAAGGATCAGGGACTTCTGAGTTCAACAACTGGCGCCATATTATTATTATTTAGTTTCGTATATAATATTGTTTGGGTCTAACTGTTTATTTTATCTTGTATTATAATTATTTTAAAAATAATAAGAAAACGTGTACATTCACCAGAATTTTAAAGCCCTTTTTATGATGATATGTGTTTCTTAACATAGTTTCGTAATTATTACGCAAGGGAGATAACTGGTGTCAACCGTTTTAGGGCGTACACTATCACTACATTAAGATAAGATAAGATAAGATAAATTTTATTTAGAGTCGGTGGGTATATAACAAAATAACATAAGCTCTGAAGAGCTTTTGACCGACATACATATACACATACAGATACATGGTACATAAAATACAATACATTAAGACATCAATTACTTATATCACACACATATTGTTCATATATTACTTTGATAATAGGTTAAGTGTTTCACACCACTCAAAGTCCATATACCATATATCAAATAAATTGAATTAAAATAAATTAAGTTAAAACAAGGCTTTGAAGTTAAAAGTTTTCAATGGAGACACTGTAGGCTGGATAAAGAGAAAATGAGGTTAGAGGAAGGTGAGATATTTATTATTTGCAGGCTGCACATTTACATTTGGTTCCATTCCAGGAGGATATTAAAGATTTATAGTGGCCGTAATTTGTTGTGGTCCTAAAGTTTTCAGGGAGATTATTCCAAAGACAGGCTGCCGCATATTTGAAGGATTTTATACCGTATGTAGTAGTCTTAACATGTGGGATGTCCAAAATGTTTGTATATCTAAAGCTGTAATTTTGAGACTTGGGTGTGACAATGTTGTGGAGACATGGCGGTGTAGTTTTGTGTATGATTTTGTAGGTTTCTATAGCCATTTGCCTCATTCATCTAATTTTCAAAGTAGGTATCTTTGCCCGGGCCAAAAGTTCACCGTAGTTGCTTGAGAAGTCATCATAAATAAATCTGAGTGCCCTATACTGAATTTTCTCAATTTTTTTAACATTTGTTTCCGAACAGAAGTGCCAGGAGAGTGGGCAAAAATTAAAGTGTGATAGTATGAAGGTGTGGAAAATTGTGAGTTTATTTAGTCTGTTCAGGTGTTTTCTAATTCTGTAGAGTACATTTAGTTGTTGTGAGGCTTTTCTACATATGGTTTTGATGTGGAGATCGAAAGAGAGCTTAAAGTCAATGTCAACACCTAGTAGTTTTACACTTTCTTCACATGGGATCGAAATATCATCTATTTGAAAAGAAATGTTTTGTGAGCAGGTCTTTTTACCTATTGCAAGTGCTTGGAATTTGTCAGGGTTTGCTTTCATTTTATTTATATCGAACCAGTGTATGAGATTTTTGGTGTCTTCTTCAAGTGCGGATGTCAGTTTTTCTAAGTTTGTAGATGAGTGTGATAAGGTATTATCACCAGCATAGTTGTATAGTTGACAGTGTTTTACAGCGAGGAAGATGTCATTAACAAATACGTTAAAAAGAAGTGGGCCTAAGATTGAGCCTTGGGGTGCCCCCTTTATGATATTACTCCAGCTGCTAAAAGAGTCTTGAATCTTGATTCTTTGTGTTCTGTTGGTAAGATAAATATCTACTAGGTTTGCTGAAAGTTCCGAAACTCCATAGGCTGATAATTTGGCAAGAAGAATTTCATGTGGGAGACAATCAAATGCTTTAGATAAATCCATCAGAATAGCAGCTACATATTTGTTATCATCTAATTTTTTGTTCCCAGTCTTCAATAATTCTTAAAAGTACGGTTTGGCATCCATATCCTTTCCTAAAAGCACAAAGAAAGTTGTCAAAAATATGGTCGAAAAATTTGCTGAGTTGGTCAAAAAGTGTTCGTTCATAGATCTTGGATATGGATGGTAGTATGCTGACTGGGCGATAGTTACCTTTATCTAGTCTGTCTTTTTTCTTGTAAATGGGTTGGACTTGGGCACGCTTTAAAATTGTCGGGGAAAATTCCAGAAGTGATGGTTGTGTTGATGAGTTTGGTTATATGAGGGGTAAGGGAGTGTTGTCCTGCTCTGATGAGCAGTAAGAATCTCAAAAATATAATTTCCAATTTTTATAATGGTTTAATTTCTATACACTCAAAATTAATATATTTACTTGCGACAACTGACTAATTAACCATGAAAAAAACCCAATAATTTCAGTATCCCACGGCACGTGGGTTTTTAGGTCTTTTCTTTTTAGATTATAAACAAAGTATCCGATCGATTCGATACTCACAATTCTTACAACATTTTACAAAATATGTTATATCAACATGAACAATACTGCAGACGACTGGAAATAAGCTCGGGTTTGTGCTATCTACATGTACAAGAAAGGTGATAAAAGTTAAGCAAGTAACTACAGGCCAGTAAGTTTATCGCCAGTGGTATGTAAAGTTCTAGAGTCCATAGCAAAGGGAGCCTATAACACAATTCATAAGAAATGAATATGTTTTGGACAAGAAGTATGGTAACTTTCATATCTGTTTACAACTAACTGTTAAAAGTCTTGGATAGATGGACAGAAGCCCTGTATACAGGACAGGTTATAGATTGTATTTACATGGACTACCAAAACGTTTTTAATACAGTTCCACACAATAGATTCCTCAACAGAAACTATCTGTTAATGGTGCAGATTCCGAATGGGCTAAAGTTACATCAGGAATCCACCAAGGCTCTGTGCTAGGACCATCGATGTTTGTAACTTTTGTGAATAACATCCCAGGAGCGGTTCAGTCGGATATATGGCCTAATTGCAGACGACACTAAGATATTTAAAATAATAATTAAAAAAACCAGGACAGTGTCGAGCTTCAGAAAGATCTTGACACAGTGTGTGTAGGTGCATCCAGACAAGTGGAAACATATGAGAATAGACAAGGAAAGAAGCAGAGGGTAAAAGGTGGACCAACCTACTAACTCCGTGCACATGCAGAGATCCAATCAAGAAAAGGACATAGCAGTAATTATAGACTCTGATCTATCATTTTGATGAACACATCTCAGAAAAAGTGAAAAAAGCAAACTCATGAGAACATGTAAGTTTATGGACATCAAGTCATTCAATCGCAGCTTGACTATGCCGTCCTGTGTGGGCACCACACCATCAAAAACGTATTGACAAGGTAGAGGGAGGACTAAGTGTCTCCCGTGAATGAGGGACCTGACCTACAGTGAGAGGTTGGAGAAACTAAAGCTACCAACACTGGCCTTCAGGAGAATTAGGGGAGATCTGATAAAACTGTACAGTACAACACTGGCCTTCAGGCGAATTAGGGGAGCTCTGATAGAACTGTACAAAACAACACCGGCCTTCAGGAGAATTAGGGTAAATCTGATAGAACTGTACAAAAGAACACTGGCCTTCAGGAGATTTAGGGGAGATCAGATAGAACTGTACAAAACAAAACTGGCCATCAGGAGAATTAGGGGAGGTCTGATAAAACTGTACAATAAAACACTGGCCTTCAGGAGAGTTAGGGGAGATCTGATACAACTGTACAAAACAACACGGGACTTCAGGAGAATTAGGGGAAATCTGATAGAACCGTACAAAACAACACTGGCCTCCAGGAGAATTAGGGGAGGTCTGATAAAACTGTACAATAAAACACTGGCCTTCAGGAGCATTAGGGGAGATCTGATAGAACTGGACAAAACAACACTGGCCTCCAGGAGAATTAGGGGAGATCTGATAGAACTGGACAAAACAACACTGGCCTCCAGGAGAATTAGGGGAGTTCTGATAAAACTGTACAAAACAACACGGGCCTTCAGGAGAATTAGGGGAGGTCTGATAAAACTGTACAATAAAACACTGGCCTTCAGGAGATTTAGGGGAGATCAGATAGAACTGTACAAAACAACACCGGCCTTCAGGAGAATTAGGGGAGATCTGATAAAACTGTACAAAATAGTATGTTATTTATGATAATGAATGTTTTAATGCTATCAAACTTTGGAAAGATGCCGCTGATCGCCACAGTGGCAGAGGACAGACACACCAAACAAATATTCCCTAAACAATCAATAAATATGCTCAGATTTTTTTTATAATCAGAACAGTGACAATTTGGAATGAACTGCCAGAATAGGTTGTATCATCACTAACGTTAATTCTTTTATAAATAAGCTAGACAATCACTGGAAAAAACAAGAATTTTTCTTCAATTACAAAGTAACAATCAAACCATAGACATCAATGTGCATGTATACCGGTAGAAGTACTTGACGGATGTATTAAGAGGTTGGAGAAGTCAGATATATATAGCGTTGGTAGGTGGAATAAGTCGGCAATACCTGTGTTCTGACAATAGATAGCCATATCCCAGGTGTTGTTCCTACATTTAGGGTAGGAGGTTGGAGAAGTCAGATATATATAACGTTGGTAGGTGGAATAAGTCGGACAAACCTGTGTTCTGACAACATATATTCATATCCCAGGTGTTGTTCCTACATTTAGGGTAAGAGGTTGGAGAAGTCAGATATATATAGCGTTGGTAGGTGGAATACGTCGGCAAAACATGTGTTCTGACAATAGATTAATAGAATTCCCCCCCCCCTTGGGGGTGAGACAGGGTAATCTCAACCCGAGGGGTAAGACTCTTAAGTTGTCAAACACGAGGCTTGCCAAGTTTTTGACAGCTTAAGAATCTTACCCCGAGGGTTGAGATCACCCTGTATCACTCAGGTATGTTTCTGCAGAAATCGCAAAAAATACAGGCATAAAATTGGCAATAGGTCAGTCTTTATCCATCATTATGCATTTATATTTTCTCATTATAATTATAGCAAGGTCCACGATTTCGTCAGCCATGTAATGTCACTCCATTTCCTACCCAAGGAGCACATCTTGGGAGCATTCGACAGCCTGCGGGAACGGGCAACCTCCCAACCTATCTTGGACCTGATGAACTACATCGAGAGGACGTGGATGAGAAACAGGTACGTAGATGAAAAAAACGAAAATGTAGTAATGACAAAAACATCACTTAAATTTGACTTAA